AGCAGCAGCAGCAGCAGCAGCAGCAGCAGCGTTAGACAACTGACTACTGGAGACATTTTCGACAACCGTATCGACAACCCGTGTAACAGACACAGAGCGTGTCGTCACGACACAGGCTGGGTGTGGGGCAGAGTGGGACGGGGAGACGGATGAAAAGGGGTGCAGACTGTCGGATGTCGCAGATTTAACAGGTCTATCACCCCCTTGGTGGTCACTCTGCCTAGTACCCAAAAAAGGTGACGGGTGTGATGGGGGAACAGACGCACTATTACCACTACCGGCGATTTCAGAACGAGGATCCTGTCCACTTTGCCTCATAAAAGCAGTGGCGAGAACATTCGCATTTTCGCCTCTCAGACTTGAACCTTCAGTGACACTCGCCACTCGTCCGGCGTCTGCAACACGCACGGCGAGAGACTGTACATTATCCTCTCCCCCACTGCCCGCGTCCAACACACACGTTTTGGCCACATGTCCACTAACGTCTTTCCGATCAACAGGGTGTAGTTTGCTGTTTCCAGCACTTGAAACAAACACAGCGGACACAGGTTCAGATCCTGAAATCCGAACACTATCGGCATTACCCAGAATCTCTGCGTCTAATGTGTTTTTAGAGACAACTGTTCGTGAATCAGCACAACTATCACTGCTGGCGGATACCACTTGTTGGCTATGCTTATGGTTAAGGGAATTTTGGTCACTGATTTCCTGGCCTCTATAATTCCCTAACATGTCATTAGGAACCAAACTGGGAACCACAGCGACTTGAACCGACGACTCACGTTTTGCCTGTTGTCCCGAGCGCACTTTTTCAGGACAGGTCTGTTTTTGGACTTCACCGTTCTTGGAGCAGTCATCATCGAAGGAATCCCCGAGGTACCACTTCACCTGCCCACTAGAACGCCTATCCAAAGCAGCCTCTCTCACGGGAATGTGACTCGCTCTCCCTCGGGCTAAACGACCCGATGGCTCGGCCGCCTTCAACCTTGTACTTTGCTGCGGTAAAGAATTCCCCCGAGGTTCGATAGAACCAAACATCGGCACACTTCTGACTCCTGACATTTGAGACGACACCATCGCCTTGTCCACCCGACCCGGGGGCTGTTCCCCAGATGTGGAGGAAGGTGCTGCCAATACGCTATCGCCGCCAGAGCTCTCGCTGCCAGAAACGACAGTAGCCAGGCTGGACGCCGTCTGAATTTGAGAAGCCCCCAGCTGTCCGAGCGTACCCCCTGGGGCAGTGTGAGTTCTTGCGGCCATATGTGACGTCCTTAAGGTCACCGAGTTAGCCACTGTGTCACCACCCCCTTTTCCGTTAAGAGGAGAGGCAGTTCTCTTTCCTAAGGCACTCACTCCTCCCTGCTCGTGTTCATCACTTGAACGAGGCGGGGAAGCAAGAGATAAATCCCCACCCGCTATCACATCTCCCGAAGTCGTCACTGCACCATGTGCCCCTGATGTGCTTTGAGAAGACGAATGAGACGTGTTCTTCGACACGCCGCGATGGTAAGCCAGAGGAAAAGACGCTACGCCCAAAGAATTACCAACATCCTGGGGACCACGCCCAGACGGTGAGACAGCCAGCCGACTATCACTGAAACTGTGGACTATTTTGTCTTTGTTGGCATTAACCGCACTTCCCGACATTGAACTGCCCTTATCTGGGGGAGAAATCTGGCGTAGAGAAGAGGTACTGAAACTAGAATTCAGATTTGGCTCTAGATCTGCAACAACCTCCGTGTGCTGATGTGACGGTTCTCCGGCCACGATCACCGACCGGGTCACACCCAGACCCTTTACGTAGGTGGTCGTCACAGCTACACGACGTACACTGCCGGGGGTCGAATCCCTGCCGCCCCCACCAGAACTCGTACCGCCACCGACTATGAGAATGTTGGAAGACTTCTCAGACATGATGGCTGCGGTGTTCTGTATGCGTTCTAGCGTTCTGGCGTGAACGGTCTCTAAGGTAGCTTTCCGCTCTGCCTCTGGAATGTGTTGTTGCCTTCTGGAAGAGGGCGCAGTGTCTGTGCCACTTGGTCCCATGTTGTGTTCATTGGTGCTGGCCACCACCTGTGGTTGTCCACCTGTGTCATGGTTGAGTTGGTCTATGTTTGAGGGGTGTGAAAAATGTTTCTTCGGAGGTGAGAAAGCTGATGGCACTGTCGCCAAGGATGAACGCTCTGCCATGAGAGATATCGCGTGAGGATGAGGAGCAACAGCACCTTCATAAGAATACGAATCTACAGTCTTTGAGCGTACGGTTGCACCATCTGTCTCATCATCCTCCTCGTCTTCGTCGTCGTCATCCTCATCATCCTCGTTGTCATCACCATCACCACCATCATCATCCTGCGTCTGATTGTTCACATCGTCACCCTCTTCCTCGTCCTCGTTATCATCATCTACGAGCGAGAACTCATCCGACACAAGATTCTCTGACATTGACGTGCTCCGTGACGTCAACCCCGACACG